ATTCTCACAAGCATTCACTCTCTTTTACAAGTTCCCCCGTGAAAAAATTTTGGACACCAATAGCAGCATGGTTTAAATGCCAATCTAGGTCAGAGGGAAATTTTCAACCTTATTTTGATTCCCCATTTTCTTCTTGCCTTTCTTTTTAACTAGGGTGACAGGAACAACATTTTATTCATTTTTACCAGAGAGGAGAAAAAAAAATAAAAAAGGAAAGAAGAGAAGAAGAAACATAGCAGAAGAAGGTAATGATTAATCTATTCTGCAAGAAAAAAAAAAGAAGCGTTGTGACTGTGAACTTACTGGCATTATCTAACCAATATAAATAGAAGTGTACTCAGAGAAGGCACAGGATGGAAAACTCATGATGAATTGTTAGGGCATGTTGAGTTAGTTCTGTCAATGCCTGCAGTCAGATGATTTCACTGGCTGTGCAAGATGAAATCTCATATTTCAATGTATAAGTAAAAGTGTCAAAGTTCAGCTGAATCCGGGACAAATACAGAACAAATTTTATGTGTGTTTGCAACTAGGGCACCAGAGCACCAGCGGAAGCCAAGATGAGCCGGAAAAACAAAAGGAGTTTAAAGGAGAAATTTGCCTTGAAGAACAGCTTGGTTAAAGAAGCCCTCTCAGAATTCCTGGGAACTTTTATACTGATAGTAAGTGTCAGCTGCTTTCCTTTCCTCCTACTAATCTCAAGTTGGACAGTGCTTGTAAGGGGACATGTATGCTTTTTTCTTGTACTGTATCAGCAGCGTGGTTACTGCCAGACAAACACTGTACAGCCTTGAATGACTTGCTTCTATTTATGGTAAGTTTGTAATTCTTTTCTTCACCTAATGTAGTAATTATCTCTGGCTATTGAAAACAGATAGCTTTGTGTATTACAGTGGTCTGATAATCATTTGATTTCCTGTAGGAGCACTGACATACCACATTCTGAAAAAAACAAGTTATGCACAATGAACGTTAATAATACTTTTGTTTTTTAATAACCTCAGCAGTTTATTCTCCTTTCACTTCTATGCATAATTTCCATCTGCTTCAACAAACCTACTGCATTGCTCACTGAGAGAATTTTAGATGGGTTATTTTTCTGCCTAATATAGAAATTTAGCTGTGTGATTTGCTGTGAGTTTATTGGCAGTTGCATTGCTGAACCTTCAGAGATTTTGTAAGTTAATGATTTTTTGCTCTGTTTTTAACTCTACTATATAAAGTATACAGTTGCTTGGTCCTGTAATACTGTGGCAATTTAGGTAAATAGCCATTTTCGTATCCACTGATCTTTGAAACTTAATTTCTTGCTCAATTTTTCTGTGTATTTTGCACTAGGACACAGAGCTCTACCCTGTGATTTCCCAGGGTGGGGAGCAGGCTCAGCAGCAGAGCTGAAAGTCGAACAGCTAGAGTATTTATGCCAAACTCTTTCTTCCTCCTTTTAGTCTGAACAAGACAGACTCGCTTGTTGCTAAATATTTCATCATAGTGAAAGACCGAAAAAAAAAGAAGCAGACGTAGTACTGACATAGTATATAACCTTAAATATATTAGCTAGATTTCAAGTAAGTCATCTAAAAAATTCCAGTAGCTCATAAAATACAAACATAAATAGTAGTCTTTACTACACTTCAGCCAACTGAAGTGCATAGGCACTGAAGTTATATTATTCTCGAATTTAATACCATCCATAAGACATTATTACAGTAAGGAGCCCATTTAGAAGTAAGAAGCACAAAATGCTTTACAAACATTAATGAATTAAGTGTCACAACACCCTGCGAAGAAGGGAAAATGTCGTTATCTTCATTTTGGATATTAGCAAACTTGATTATAGCAGACTGCACAGGAAGCCTGTTGCAGACCTCTGAATATAACCCAGATCACCTGACTTCCAGTACTCTGTCCTCGCCAGAAGATGAGTCTCCTCTTCCCATTAATACAATTAAGCAAGTGAAGAAAATGTATTGAAGTGCAGATTAGACCACAAATGCTATTATTTAACGTCCTGCTGCACAAGACTAGAAGGAAATGCAAACCCAGAGCCCATTTTCTAGTATATTCACTGTATGAATATAATAGAAGTTAAAGCTACAAGATTGTTGTTGATAATCTGAGTTTCTCAATTCTATCTTACCCTTTCGCATTTCACCCTTGGCTTAAAGCAGAAGAGCCTCACATGGATTAAACTGCAGCTTTCTGAGGGCTTGGATACCTCGATTTATGTTTAGATTGTGCAAGCTAGCAGCAGTACAAAGCATTTATTGTAAAGAAACTGACTTTTCTCCTATTATTTATTGCTATTGCTTTGTAGCTCCATCAGCTATTAAGTAGTTTCTCTTTAAGAACAGATAAATATTAAACGCTTTACTTAAATTGGAGCTACTGAAAGGAGCACCCTGGTGTAAGACAGAGGGCAGAAATCCTCAAAAACCAGACACCATATATGAAAAAGAAGTGATAGCTTTCTTCCACCATCCTGTTCCTAGGTCTTAATCCTGATACAGAGTGAAAGTGAGATGGCAGTTCATGGCTTACGGAGCTGTCAATTCAGACCTTTGCTGAAAACCACTTCACATCACTGTGACGGGTTGCATGGCCTGTGGGGAACACCTGTGCCAGGGAGCAAGGCTCTTCTGTTACCCACAGGCTCCGTCTGGAAGTCAGCGTCTCTACCTAAATCTCCAACCAACCTAGCACCTCCGGAAAGTTAGCTGGGTGAAATTCTGTCCCTATAAATCACCTATTTCCATTTTTTCCGGAGAACAATATCACCGACCACATAAAATTAAGAGCTTAAACTACCATCTTTGGTAACTCTCAAGTCTTGCAACATTATTTTCCAAACTGGAAAATGTACAAACTGTAAGATTAATTTCATGACACCTAGGAAGGGAAATCACTGATCAGGCAAAAACCAAGCCGTCACCTGGGGGTAAGAAGGGCTCTGCCTGCAACCTTGAACAGATCTGAGACAACAAACCTCGAGAAAGTCCCTGCGTATACAGTTTGGATAACATCTCTTGGTCATCCCTACTTAACATGCTGTGGTTTGCCTTGCAGCATAGTCTCAGAGCACGTAAACTGAATTCTTTTCAGATGAAACTGAAGTGGAAGGTGAGCTCCAGAATCACAGTAGATGTGCTGACCATTAATGGATGTTCAGTCCCATTGATCAAACTGGAGATACTCCAGTAATGCCTCCTGATATGTCCATAGTCAGGTTCTCCAAAACAGCTGCTTAAACTGCACAGCTCGCTAAGACAGATATAGCCTCTGTGAGCCCCTCTACTCATCAAAGCACCCAATTTCACCCTCTAAAGATTCAGTGAGAAACACTGAATTCGAGGAACCTGGAAGTGCCCTGCTGTAAAGGCAGATCTGCAGGCACACAGAGCAACTGCCACTATCGCCTGTCTGGGTAATTCTGCTGGTGATTTGGCTATTTTACTCTTTGACCTATTGTGCTGGGGGAAACAAGTATTCCTTTCAGTACAAAGCCTTAAATTATTCCCAAAGGCATAGCACAGATTGTCTAATTACACCCTGGAACAAGAATCAGGGCAGAAACCCCCAAATGTACAGTCCATAACTAAATGCAAAGTCCATGTGGTTTTAGTTACACTGAGCTTTTGGTTACTGTCCTGAACTATATCTTATTTGCTTTATAAGATTCCATCAAGCTATGATAGTGTTACATTTCACCTCTCATGTGATTTCTATAAAACAAATGTAGTAATGCCCTTTTAATATAAGTTCCATTTGCAGTACAGGAAATGAGGAGTATGCATTATGCTGGGTATTTATATTTGCAGCTTATTTGCAAAATACTGCCTATTTCTTGCATTTTCCTCAGTGCTGTCACATGGTAAACCCCCAACCTGCTAAGCTTATTTGTGCCATCTACATTTTAGAATAAATATTCACAAACCCCACAATCAACTATATAATTTTTCAATGACCATTTGAAAAGGACATAACTGTTTTCCAGGAAATGGATACTGAGTAATGCAGGTGTTACACAGTATGTTTGGAACCAACTTGTGGGACTTATCCCTCCAGCCTACACCTATGCAATAGGTCTCGGAGGTAGGAGAACACCCAACCCTGCGTACTGTGGTGGCCTAGGCACACACATTTCCCAGCCTTTGACACAGCCTCAGCCTTCTGTAGGTGAGGCTGCCACAGAGGCCTCCCTTGAGAAAGAGCTCTCTGGAGACCTTTTTGTCCTCCAACATGTCTCTTGGTTCAGTACATTTCCTCTATGGACCTCTGTGGGTTACTCTGGGGGGACAACACCTGGGTGCCAATGCAGAAGAGTCAAGAAGCCATGTGACTTTTCAGTGAGTCTGTCTGGAACTCACCTATCCAACTGCCTCTGCTTTTAGTCATGCTTCTCTCCATATTTCCCCTTTGGAAGGTGGCTGCCTTGCTCTCAAAGTGGGATTCAATCTGGCTTATGCCATTAAATATATGTGGACTGGAAGAATTCCAAAAAGATGCCAAATGGGCCATGTGGCTTCCTTCACTGGCTGCTGCTCACCTGTATTTCATTTTTGGTCTCAAGAGCATCTTACTAAACAAGGTTTCCCAGAAAGGAGCTGCACAGGAGACACTATCTCCTTACTCCAGAGCAGTGTACGCTTCCTTGCCAAAACAGAAGAGACTTCTATTTACCATAGAAAGACACATGGGTAGTACATATATTCCTATTTATATTCCTATCTTAAAGCTTAGTCCCACTGAAGCAAGTGTTTGTGTATGTGTAGAGGATTCACTACATGAGCAGGACCTGTATGTGGACACCCACGCTGCAAGCAGTCCAGCTAAGGAGAAGGAAGGCTATTTATCTTTTGCTCATCAAAATCTTTTTGTCTTGTTTTCATATTCTGACCACTTTACTACATAAATTATCACTCGTGCTTTGATACAGAATGTTGTCTTGCCTGAAAAAAAAAAATCTGACATTCCTTGGACTTGCTCAGTCCAGAAGACTAAAATTCAAACAACTTTTTCATATCTTTGTTTTTGTGGCCCTACATTCCAGTGCATGTTAATTACAATACTGTATGGTAATATATATCCCTTATACTAAATATGCATTAGAATCCTCATTGCATGATGTTATTTAATGAAATCAAATGTAGCTCTTGATCATTTACTCCTTAAATAATTGTTTAGCATTTAATACAAAATTACTGCTTGGAAATTTTAAACAAAGACAAATCCCATGTTCTAAATTTTTGTTCTTTCTCTGTATAGTATGAAATTGTTTGCAGTGAGTTTTGTTTAGAAATTTTTTTGTGTGTGTAGAAAATTGAATAGCAGTACCTTCTGACAGGTAACTTGTTTGCTGTCAGTAATGAATTTCCTGGAGTACAGAATCTTGTATAATTAGCTCTTAGACAGTGAACCTAAGTTTTTCAAAGACAGAAAAATAAAAAGGTTATTAAAGCTTATTTATAGTTGATATCTTGATATGTCACTCAACAGCTTTTTAAATATTATATATTCCTACAAACATCATGGGCCTTTGCAATGTCTGCACTCTGACAAGCAGCTTTTATGTCAGAGATCCATACATTAGGGTCTCTAGCAACAATACTATAGTATAAACAATAAATAATAAAAGTCACTCATGCATCCAATGTCATAAAATTTAACCCTGTACTTGTAGACCAAAACTGCTCACTTTACAAGAATAAGATTTTTTTCTTTCCCCATCATACCAACTCAGAGTCCTTTCTGGTTCTGCAATTGTACCAGTTGTGTATATTTTGATGGCACAAAGTTTTGCTGATGATTCTGCTG